GACTGATCTGGGGAGGAGGGGGGTTAACTAAGCAACAACTGTGTACGTGTGCTTAGGGCCCAGCGATGGGCTGATCTGGCCCTGTTCCTTATCCTTGGATGGCTCTGTATGTGAATCTGGCTGTAATAGTGGCAGTGGGATATTTGAGTCTGAGAAGGGACACTGGCTAATGTTCAATAACTCAGCATCAATCTGATTAATGTCCCTTTGAAGATGGTTGCACACAGGTGGCTTTCATTGTAAATACTAGACTAGTGTTTTCTGGCCAAGGTAGTCAAATGTGGGGCTTTAAGTCTGTGGGTTGATGTCTAGATAAGTGGCCTGACTTTTAAAAGTGCACACAGAGGAGCTTCCATGGGGGGACCTGGTGAGGGCTTGGTACTCTGGGAAATCAGGTCATCCACTTAGATACCTAAAGACTGATTCAGCAACCTAGCTTCATATTTAAACAAAATAAATAAATCTTCTCCTTAGACACCTTAAAGGCCTCTGTGTCTTTTAAAAATGCACTGCTCTGCCATTAAGGGTAAAACATCAGGGTAAACCACATACAGATGCACTGCACTGGAGTATCACTAAGAACCAGTATTAAGGGCCTAATGCACCACTGAAGCCTTAGTGAGAATTCTTTGCATTGGAGTGAATTTTAATGGATAAGAACTGCATACACAAATGCCTAGGGAACTTTCATGTGAACCTACACTGAGACATTTAAAAAAAAAAAAAAGTAGCAAATTATGTTACTTCATGCAGCCCTCCAGCTGCTAAATGAGAATAGCGGGTCTATGTGACATTGGTGAGAGCCATGTGTGCACTTTCAAATAGCTTTATGTGTTTATCAAGCCCAAGCATGACATGCTGCAGAAATGGAGTTGGTGAGTAGGTGGGACCTCGCTGCCACAAGGCTAAGAGCTTAATATGATTTAATATGTCATAACTTGCTTATGAGGCAAGCTTCTTCCTAACCTCCAGCTGAGGGAGTTGGCTTATGCCCTGAAGTATGAGGGTTTATATCACTTCCAAACTTGTATTTATTTTTTAATCCTTACTAATGCAGCTCGGAATGTTCCCTGTAAATGTCCAGGCTTCTTCTGAATGCTGCTAAGCTCTTGGCTTCTGAGACCTTGTGACTTCAATGGGCTTTGGATCAGCCCCAAAGTTAGTGGCAAAATTGGGAACACAAATCAGAAATCTTAACTTTGTGCTTGATCCAACAGTTACAGCTGGGCCCTTTACTGCAGCACAGTCTTTCTTTGGAGACAAACGTAATGGCAGCTACCACTCCATGGTGTTAAAACTGCACTACTTCTGGCCAAGATGTTTAAAAATGGGTGCGTGAAGTTAAGGTCCTAAGGGCCTGAACCTCATTTACAGTAAAGCCCCTTTATAATGCCAAAGCAGTATAAAAGAGGTCTGAAAGTCAGGATATATTACAGTGTAAATAATAGGGCTGTCAAGCGATTAAAAAAATTAATCACAATTAATTGCGTGTTTAAACAATAATAGAATACCATTTATTTAAATATTTTTGGATGTTTTCTACATTTTAAAATATATTGATTTCAATTACAACAGATTACAAAGTGTCCAGTGCTCACTTTGTACTTATTTTTTATTACAAATATTTTCACAGTAGAAAAACAAAATAAATAGTATTTTTCAATTAATCTAATACAAGTACTATATAGTGCAATCTCTTTATCATGAAAGTTGAACTTACAGTATGTACAAAAAAAACTGCATTCAAAAATAAAACAATGTAAAACTTTAGAGCCTACAAGGAGATAATGCTGCCCGCTTCTTGTTTACAATGTCACCTGAAAGTGAGAACAGGAGTTCTCATGGCACTGATGTACCCGGCGTCTCAAGATATTTATGTGCCAGCTGTGCTAAAGATTCATATGTCCCTTCATACTTCAACCACTATTCCAGAGGACATGTGTCCACGCTGATGATGGGTTTTGCTCAATAACGATCCAGAGCAGAGCAGACCAACGTATATTCATTTTCATCATCTGAGTCAGATGCCACCAGCAGGTTGATTTTCTTTTTATTGGTGGTTCAGATTCTGTAGTTTCCTCATCAGAGTGTTGTTCTTTTAAGACTTCTGAAAGCATGCGCCACATCCCGTTCCGATCAGATTTTGAAAGGCACTTCAGATTCTTAATCCTTGGGTTGAGTGCTGTAGCTATTTTTAGAAATCTCATATTGGTACATTGTTTGTGTTTTTTGTCAAATCTGCTGTGAAAGTGTTCTTAAAACGAACAACATGTGCTGAGTCATCATCCAAGACTGCTATAACATGAAATGTAGGGCAGAATGTGGGTAAAACAGGACAGGAGACATACAGTTCTCCCCCAAAGAGTTCAGTCACAAATTTAATTAACACATTATTTTTTTAATGAGCATGATCAGCATGGAAGCATGTCCTTTGGAATGGTGGCCAAAGTATGATGGGGCATATGAATCTTTAGCACATCTGGCATGTAAATATCTTGTGACGCCGGCTACAGAAGTGCCATGCGAATGCCTGTTCTCACTTTCAGGTGACGTTGTAAATAAGAAGCAGGCAGCATTATCTCCTGTAAAGGTAAAAAACTTGTTTGTCTTAGTGATTGGCTGAACAAGAAGTAAGACTCAGTGGACTTGTAGGCTCGAAAGTTTTACATTGTTTTGGTTTTTGAGTGCAGTTGTATAATAAAAAAAATCTATATTTGTAAGTTACACTTCCATAATAAAGAGATTGCACTATGGTACTTGTATGAGGTGAATTGAAAAATACTAATTCTTTATCATTTCTACAGTGCAAATATTTGTAATCAAAAATAATAATATAAAATGAGCAGTGTACACTTTGTATATAGTGTTGTAATAGAAATCAATATATTTGAAAATGTAGAAAAACATCCAAAATATTTAAATAAATGGTATTCTATTGTTGTATAACAGCGCAATTAATCGTGATTAATTTTTTTGAGTTAATTGTGTGAGTTAACTGCGACGAATCGACAGTCCTAGTAAGTAAGAATTGTGGCCCAAGTCTATACTTAGGCACCTGAGTAAGTGGCCATGTTGTTTCCGAGAATGTTGCGCACTCTGCTGGTTTTGTTAGGTGTCTGACAGAAGATTTCAGTATAATTCCACGGTACGCGTCCGGTGCAGGGAGCCGTAGCTCACGAAAGCTCATGCTCAAATAAATGGGTTAGTCTCTAAGGTGCCACAAGTCCTCCTTTTCTTTTTGCGGATACAGACTAACACGGCTGCTACTCTGAAAAGTATAATTTTAGGCACACATTTTTATAAATCTTAGCCTATGAATTAAAATGACAGGGATTTTTGACTCTTGTTGGATAAATGGTTAGGGTGTAGTGAACTGGAACAAGAATTTCTTTCTTGACAGTATGGCACAATTTGATATTGTTCCTGTATGGGTAGGATCCCATCTAACTCCTTAGGGTAGTGAAGAGCGAATATGGTGGTTTAAAGACTTTGACTTTCATCACTTAGTGTTCTCCTGGCACCTGTTGCTCATGCGGCACCTGTTACACTTTTAGAAAGTCAAACCAGGTACATGCAGTTTTTCTCTACACATGAAGAGGCCTCCTTTGTGCGCATGTCACAACTGTACAGTGAGAAGCATGTCTAATCAAAGTAGCTTCCTTATGAAGAATGCATAACTTGTTCAGTCATTTGGACAAATCTTTTGTTGTACATTGTTGTAGCTGGGTGTAGTATGCAGCTGACTTGATTGGGCAACTTCAGGAGGTTCACGGTTAATAGCTATTCTGATGGATCAGGTCTCCTAAAATGCTTCCGTCTTGAGACCCTTGTTCTTTTTACTGTCCAAATACTCATGACTCTCTGTGTCGGATTTTATACACCAACCATCAAAATGCTGGGCCAAATTCCGCAAAGCTGGCTCAGAAGAAGAAAGTTAGGGATGGGGGAGGAGAGGAATGGCCAGAAAAGCCTGCAGTAACTGTTTTGGAATGTGGAGTGAGATGCTCATCTGCCCATCCACCCATTGCAGAAAATATCATGGCTGAAATGCTGAACCTGCTGAAGTCGTCCATTGACTTCAGTGGGGCCAGGATTCCACCCGAAAGGTCATCTCTGTCTCTAGATTCTGTGGTCCTTATCATGAAGTTTGGGTTGCTAAGTCTTTCATGAGCCTTAGTGGGTACCACCCACCTTTAGCAAGCTGTAATCCTGCATGTTCAGTAGATTTCAACACTAACTTCTCCTCCACAAAACAAGGCCTTATTTTAATATGGAGTAAATTTTGAACTCTCTTAGTCATACCTTTTCTTAGTGTGCAGCTTTTATGCCTGTCTTCCAGGCTGTAGTGCTCCCAAAGTGGAAAGATGATTTGGGAGCAAAACTTACTTATCAGTATTCTTTATAGTTGATCATTTCGCTCTTCCCCCATTGCTTATAATTCTGTTACATGCACAATCACACATGACAGAAGAAATTCAGTGCCCAAAATTTACGACAAAGAAATATTGCCTAGTACAGAAGGTACTATTTAGTCAGTGTTGCAGAATTCATCTTGAAAAACTTGTGTGTCCTCCTCGACTGGGAGAATGGTAATTTTTAATGAAGGTTTTAATGTTGGGTGCCTTTCAGTATTTGTCCCTACAGTGACATGGGGAGACCCGGTTTTCAAACCCGGGTGCCTAAAGCTATATGCATAGGCCAAGGTCCTTTGAAAGTGGTCACTGACTTGCCGAGTATCCACCCTGTTAACTAAGCCCCTTTAAGGTGCTGCAAGTTGGGGCCCCAAAATCACTGCTCACTCTTGAAAATCTTGGCTGTAAGACTTAGAGATGGACTTCTCAAAAGTGCTTAGCCTTGGCCTGACACTGCTCCTATTGACTTCAGAGGCCGTGCTAAGTGATTTTGAAAATCCCTAGTCTGTTGACATGCTGAATGATTCACTATTAACATTCCACGTTTTAAGTGAAAGATTAACCCTGTTTTTTGTTTTGACTCTACAGGCAGAAGCTTTTGTTTGGGTTAATGATGCATTGGCTCATTCCCAGAGTGTTGCCAAGGCCAAATATGAATTTCTGTTCTGTGGGACAGAAACAGAGAAACCTTCAGAAACAGGTAAGTGCTTTTTCCACCGCTTGAAGGACAGACAGACAACCTGATTCTCAGTTACATTAAAGCTACCTTACAGTGTACTGCTGTGAAGGTGCTTAAAAGTGCATGTTGATGTAATTTGCAGTGTAAAGGAGCCTTGCTCTAAATGAGAATTGCACCCCTTGTATCAGCACTGATGTGACTGCAGTCCTGTGGCATGTAGCACTGCCTTCCTCTCTGTTTCAATGGGGACACTGCCACGTGACTGTAAAAGTTCTGTGCCAGGCACGTTCAATATTTCTCCAGGAGTTTGTACAGTAAGTCTCACAGCTCCTATTTCTGCCAGCTGTACACTGTGAGTAATTTTAGCCACACTTCTAACACTGTATGAATCAAATCATTGCCAATTCTTTTGATATTCACTGCATGTACACTTAAAGTGTTTCTGGATGATTCTATATCTGTAGCTACAATTACCTAAGATTTAATTTAGATATTCTAGGATAAACACTCAAGCTAAACTTTTTTCTCTGTTTGTATTGGAAAAACTCCACTCACCATTTTATTTTCTGGATGCAGCAGCAAGAAGTAATGTCTCGGGGTCAGCCCCATTTCTTCCTCCTGTTCTGTAGTAAGGACATTCGCCTCCTCCCACAGCTAGCCCTGGGCCAAGCAGAGTAAAGAACTGCAGTGGAGATGCCCATTTCTCTCCGTTCTTGTTTGGATTACTACAAATCCTTGCCTTTATTTCAGGAGTGGGAGGCAGTCTGGTCTGAGGAGATGCTACTCCTTACATCTTGGTAAATTTAAACCTTCCAGATTATGGGCTGTCTTTACTATGCCATTTTTAGTTAAAAAGAGGAGTCTCTTATACCAAAATTGTGCAAGAATCTGTTCAGAAGCAAATTTTGAAGTGGGCAGAAAAACTAAATGAACAGAATTAAAGTCCAGATGATGAGTAATTTCTCCAAGGCTCTTGCTGAGTTTTATCAGGAAATCCAGCATGCCTAATTTTTTAACTTGTTTATTTAGGAAATGTAAACAACTTTACAGATCATCACCAAACATGTTAACAAAGTACATGATTCATTACGAGCTCATCTCTTGTTTAGAGTATCATTAGGCAACAGCACAGTTGTAATGCATGTTCAGTGTTTCTGGGAACATCTTAAACCTAAAAATTCTGTCTAACTAACAACCCAAAGCAAGTCCTCATACGTGTTACCATTTAAAGAAATTTGTCAAATGCAATGACTTTTGTGGGCAAATGTATTGAATAAATACTTACTAACTAGCCTGGTATCTATTTGTCCTCTGTCTGCTGGGCGGTGTACATGCTTGATGTGTTCACTCTTCCATCACATCACCAACTTCCAGTATTTCTCAGAGCCATTCCTCACCCCTGCCAACCCTGTTGCCAGTGAGAAAGTACCAGTTGTCTAGGAGCTATTAATAAATTAAAGATTTGTTCTTGGTAATCTGTTTAAGGGAGTGGTTTAAAAGGAATATGTGGTAATAAGTGTTCAACAATTGCACCCTAATACTATGTAATAATTGAACATGTCCACCATATAGGCACTTCTTCCCCATAATTTCATCAACATCTTTCCCCACCCTTTGTGTGTTTCTGTATTTTAACCTTTCTGGTTTAAGGTACCATTCAAACAGTATCTCAAAGAAACTCTTATTTTAGTACAATTTGGGATTGCCCGTCCACACCTCAGTCCAAAACCAAAACCCACTCCTCTGGAAGACAGTCCATCCAAATCTATTCCCTCTTATCATACATGGACTCATTCTTCTTAGCAAAGTTGTTGGCAAAAGCCAAGTATAAACTAGTTAATTCTTTGTTTCCTTTTAGTTCAGAAGCCATCTCTCCTATTCAGTTTTACTTCTTTTCTTATAAATCAAATTCTCTAAAAATGTTGCGAGATCACACTGTCTGACCTGAAGGTACTGGTACCATGGGAAAGTGGACCAGCTGTGTCAAGAAAAGATGCCAGGAAACAACTGGCTAATTTCATGTATTCCATGGCTCTCACAATCTTTATCCTGGGAGAAAAATGGACCAGAGTGCTTCTTAGTTGAAGTGTGTGTGTGTGTAGGGGGTGTGTGTCACGGATGGAAAATAATTTTACCTTTAGCTTTCTCAGTCTCAAATACAGCCTTGAGAAAGCATGGGTATGAACTTACAGAGACTACTGACCGACTGGGAAGGCAGTGTTTGTCTGGCTTTCTGTTTAACCAAGCACCACTTTTCGGGTCAGTTGGGAAGAGGCTCTGGGCCTGGAAGATCCTCTCCTCTACCATATTGAAACCTTTTAAAAATTGCAGGACAAACTTGCATGCTATTTCCTTATTTTTTGAAAACTTGGACATGCCAGACTAGTATGAAATTACACAAGCAAGGGTTGATGTACGAGAAAAGGGGGGAGAAAAGCAGATGTTATTAAAGTAAACGAAGACAGCTTCTTAGCCATATGTTGCTAATAACTTTCAGAAACAAAGCCAAACTTAGTTTGACTTGAGATGGGCATTCCATTCATTCGTCTTTTGCTTGTCTTGTTAAAATGTGGGAAAATGTTTGAGTTTCTGTATGGCTCAATCACTTCAGCACCCAATTCCAGGTCGTGTCTCCCAGGAACTTCACAGAACACATGTGAAGTCTCCCAGCCACTCCAAGTCTGTTGTTTTGTTGGGTGGTAAAAAGCAGCTCCTTTTTCCTGAGCCAATCAGAAAAGGGCGATTGCCCTGAAGAAGAGGGAGAGGTTGAGGTGATTAGCTGTGAGAAAGAGGTGTAGCTGTCCAGAAGTTTAACAAAATGGCCAATTCTGTTTAGAGAAATTGACAGTAAGTGGAATAAGCTTCAGCATGTTTTGCCACAGCTGTGAAATGGACACTAGCCGAAGGCCAGAAGGACAAAGCAGACTGTAGGCAAGTGGTATCTTACCCAGTCCTGTTGAAACACGCAAACACGTGCACTTATAAAGTTGTCAGAAAAAAAACAAATTTCTTCTCCCTGTCTTGTTTAAAGCTAATAAAGTCTAAGTCTTGTCAGAGGGCTCTTTCCAAGAGGCTTTAAAAACACAACTTGAAAAAATTTCACCAGAGCTCAATACCTGCCCAAGGCTGTCCCATCCCTCCCCTCCACCCATGTATTTCGCAGCGCAGGGAGCTGTCTGGGAAATAGGGGGTGAGCGGATAGACATGCTGTAGGGAGTAAAAAGGAGTTTACCCCCTCAGGGTATCCTGCAGGAGGCAATCCCACTTATCCTCCTGCTGCCTTGGTGCTTTCCTTACCCAAATCCCATCCCTTCAGCTTCTCAAAACTTTTCAAAAGCAAAACTAAACATGACTATAGAAGACATTTCCTGAGTCTACTCACTAATTGAAAAATCACTTATTTATGTGGATTTGGAAACCTCGAATATGTAAGTATTTATGGAAATCAGATAGCTATTGGTTAAATATTCTTATCTCTTACATTTAGGCACACCCCTTTGTAGTTTCAATGTATTTTTTAAAATAAAATTAAAAAAGAAAAAATCCAGATAACTCCATGTGAAGGTAGAAGGTACATCTCAGCAAGCTGAGGGTAAAAAAAAAATCCCTACAAAATATTTGTTTTTTAAAAGAAATGAGAGAGCCAGGAAATTCATTATTAAAGTGAAGTTGGACAAGAAACCAAACTGTTTGGTATGGAAATACAGTTAGGGCACCTGAATAACCTTTATTCTGACCCAGTGTTGATTCTTTGAGGGCGGTAACTCTGACAGCCATATCCCAATGAACAGTCTAATCTTACCAGTGATCAAACATCTTAGAATGCTTTCCTCGTAACTGTATGGTTGTCATGCAAATTCTGGCTGCCCTTACAGCCACAGGAAAATACTTGCTTTACAAATTCCTGATGAGCCAATTCACCGTTCAAGGGGCCGTTATCCTCTGGGCTACGTTAAGATGCCATGTGCTACCAATTACGCAAGAATCGGAGCCTCTATTTCTACACCTACAAGCCTCCTGAGCCTCAGTCGTGGCAATGACAACGGAACGCTTACTATGTTAACGTATGCTCATGTTATGTGACAGGTTGTGTGGCACTCCAGCTATTGTTTGTACAAGCTCAAACCCTTCTGTAGCCTGAGGCTGTCAACTTGTGGCAAAAGATTCTGGTTGCCTTATGCAAAGAAAATATCAGAATACTTTACTCTCACACTTGACTAAGCATTGTGCTTGTCTCACTAATCTTTTTGCCTCCCTCTGCTCTCTTCCTCTACCCAACTTGCCTCACTGCCCTTCTCTACATCATTTCCTCTTTCTTCCTGCCTCCATTCCTCTCAACAGATAAACCTCCCCTTCCCATCTCCCCATCTCTACCTTCCGCAACCTCCTTCCGTCATGTTTCCCTGAACCTTTGTTCTCCCTACATCCCTTCCTTATCGCCAAATTCCCTGTCATCCTGTCCCTTAGGTTCCACATGTTCCCTCACCTACATTCCTACCGTGGCTCTCCTCTCCCTACCTTTCTCCTGTTTCCTCTGGACTGCCCCCTTCATCTAAAATCCCAGTCAGCCATGACCTCTTCATCTCTCACTCTTTCCACTCTCAAGGCAATTCCGGACACCTGGATTTCTTTCTCTGAGGTTTCCCTCTGCAGCTGTGCTCTCTTGCTGAGCCCCCAAACTACTTTTTGTAAGAGGCCAAAGCAGAGATTGTTCTTTATGTGTATGTGGTTAATTGGAATGAACAGAAAACATGAGGCGAAATATATGGAATGTGGAATTAAGATTACAAACCTGCCCAAATTAAATGGGATTCAAATGCAAAATTTTTAAAAGGGTGAAACTCAAGCCTCCATCTGTAAATTCATCACTTTGTCAGACGTATTTGAATCCACAGGTTGTGAATGGAATTTCAGCTAGTTACCCCACTGCAATACCGGATATATTAAAGAGTAGCAAGAGTTCTGAAACTTTAGTGTGGGACTGTGCCTTACATTGTCTCATCGTTAACCCGTGGAACTCATTGTCACAAGATGCAGTGTGGCAAAGAGCTTAGTAAGGAAGAGGATATTCATAGCTACATTTGACAGGATTAAACTTTTTTTTATTAAATGAAGGATATAAACACCATAATGGTTCAGGCCATCAGACAGTGCCTAACTGATGGGGATTTAGGAAGAACCGTCCTTTCAGAAAGCTTATGCTCAAATAAATTGGTTAGTCTCTAAGGTGCCACAAGTCCTCCTTTTCCTTTCAGACAGATTATTCGATGCTTTTGCACTATGCAGTTGCTTGCACCTTCCTCTGAAACATCTGGTCCTGGCCACAGTCAGATGGACCATGGGTCTGATCAAGTGTGGTAGCTCCCATTTTCTTGTTCCTCCCTTTGGCGTGCTCCATGGCCCGTCAGGGACTGAATGCTGCAGATGTGAGGCTAGCCCCAGGGTCAGCACTGACGGGCTAGAGATCCAGACTTCAGTAACGACCTGAGGAAACAAAACAAAGACTCTGAGGCATTATACTAACAACTATATTGTTTTGTAAGAGGGCTCTGGAAACAACCTGACCTAAACTTAAAAACAGGGTGGTTAAAGTTGTCATAATAACTTTGACAACTGCTTTCTGTGAAAGAGATAACCACACCTTAGACTCAATAAACGCTGTAGCTCAGGGTCAAGGATATCACAGCAAGCCAGTTAAAGAAAAGAAGTTGAATGTATATTGTAGAATAAAGCACTCAGGATCCAGTAAGTGCCAATATTAAGGTAACAGTATCTTCATAAAAAGAAAAGGAGTACTTGTGGCCCCTGAGAGACTACAAACCCTCTCCCTGTAGGATCACAGTATTAGAACAAAAAGAAAAGGAGTACTTGTAGCCCCTAAGAGACTAACAAATTTATTTGAGCATAAGCTTTCGTGAGCTGCAGCTCACTTCATCGGATTTTTTTTTTCCCACTGAATGCATCTGATGAAGTGAGCTGTAGCTCACGAAAGCTTATGCTCAAATAAATTTGTTAGTCTCTAAGGTGCCACAAGTACTCCTTTTCTTTTTGCGAATACAGACTAACACGGCTGCTACTCTGAAAAGTATCTTCATACTACAGACTGGGAACTGAGACACAGAGATGAAGGACAAAATTGGCAAACGAGTCCATTCATTTTGGATGCCTGTTTTGAGCCACTTAGGGTCAGACTTTTTTAAAGGCACTGAGTGTCCGTGATTCCCCATGACTTCAGTTGCAGTTGTGAGCACTCAGTGCTTCTGAAATTCATGCCCCAGGTGCCTTGCGCTGGACACCCAGAAAATGAGGAACCCATAATTAGTGACCGCCTGTGAAAAGTTTGCTTTAAGTAACTTGCCCAGCCTCACAAGGGAACTGTGGCAGAGGTAGGATAGAATCTGATTTCCCCCAGGACAGCATTCAGCTGCCTTAACCACAAACCTGTCCTTCATCGTCCTGTAATCCCCTGCCTCCTTCACTGTACGCCTGGCAGCTTTGCCACAAATAAGGCAGGGGCACAACAGTCTCCTTCACGGCACAACCCTGATTGAGCCCCAGAGTATGCTGTGGAAAAGATAGTATATGGTCATACTATTAAACGCTGTCTTATAATGGATGTGCACAGTGGGGGGGCTGACGTAACATGGACATTTGTGGCATAGCCAGGAATAGAACAGACATTTCCTGGGTCACAAGCCAATGCCTTAACCACAAGGCCATCTTTTCCCTGCTGTAACTCCCTTCTTTTTACATTGTCCAACCTCCTATGGGGAAACTCCTTGTTCACTGAAGAACCCTGCTGAAAAGTGTGTACTTAATATCCAGCTGCACCTTTACCAGCAATGTCTCCTCTTGGTTTAAGTCCCAAAAATATAGGTGGCTTTTGTGCCTTTCTGCCTCAATATTCAGTGCCTGTAATGTTTTGTGGGGTGGCTGATTGGTCACAAGTCTGAAAATAAAATACAACTGAATATTTTTGTGTGATTTCTTTTGGGGTGGCTGCAAAGATCCATACTTTGTCACTAAATCCTGATTATAGGATCATTTCCTTTAGACCCTTATTGCCAATAAAAACCCTCCTTGGAAGTCTGTAGATTTTCTGTGTGTAAGTTTAGTCTCCTTCAAACATTTAGCATGAGTGTTTTAAGTAGTGGTGCATTAAGAAATGCAGTACAGTCCTTACCCCTGACCCGCACTCGCCCCTCAGATGCTCTGAGAACCTCAGCAATTGGGACTCTCGATTAATCGCAGTTAGCTCATGCAATTAACTAAAAAAATTAATCGTGATTAAAAAAATTAATTGTGATTAATCGCAGTTTTAATTGCACTGTTAAACAATGGAATGCAATAACATTTATTAAATATTTTTGGATTTGTTTCTATGTTTTCAAATATATTAATTTCAATTACAACACAGAATACAAAGTGTACAGTGCTCACTTTTTACTATTATTTTGACTACAACTATTTGCACTATAAAAACAATAAACAAAAGAAATAGTATTTTTTTCAATTTGCCTCATACAGGCACTGTAGTGCAATCTCTTTATCATGAAAGTGCAACTTACAAATGTAGATTTTTTGTTGTTGTTACATAACTACACTCAAAAAACAAAACAATGTAAAACTTTAGAGCCTACAGGTCCACTCAGTCCTACTTGTTCAGCCAATCGCAAAGACAAACAAGTTTGTTTACATTTATGGGAGATAATGCTGCCTGCTTCTTATTTACAGTGTCACCTGAAAGAGAGAACAGGAGTTCGCATGACACTTTTGTAGTCAGCCTTGTAAGGTATGTACATGCCACATAGACAACACATTCGTATGCCCCTTCATGTTTCGACTATCATTCCAGAGGACATGCTTCCATGCTGATGACGCTCGTTAAAAAAAAATGCGCTAATGAAATTTGTGACTGAACTCCTGGGGGGAGAACTGTATGTCTCCTGCTCTGTGTTTACCCGCATTCTGCCCTATATTTCATGTCATAGCTGGTCGGATGACGACCCAGCACGTGTTTGTTTTAAGAACACTTTGACTGCAGATTTGACAAAACACAAAGAAGGTGCCAATGTGAGATTTCTAAAGATAGCTACAGCACTCGACCCAAGATTTAAGAATCTGAAATGCTTTCCAAAATCTGAGAGGGACGAGGTATGGAGCATGCTCTTAGAAGTCTTAAAAGAGCAACACTCTGATACAGAAAACTACAGAACCTGAACCATCCAAATGCATCCGATAAAGTGAGCTGTAGCTCACAAAAGCTTATGCTCAAATAAATTTGTTAGTCTCTAAGATGCCACAAGTCCTGCTTTTCATCTAAAAAGAAAATCAGTATTTGGTTGGTGGCATCTGACTCAGACGATAAAAATGAACATGCGTCGGTCCGCACTGCTTTGGATTGTTATCGAGTAGAACCTGTTATCAGCATGGACTCAAGTCCTCTGGAATAGTGGTTGAAGCATGAAGGGACGTATGAATCTTTAGCTACAACAATGCTATGCGAACGCCTGTTCTCACTTTCAGGTGACATTGTAAACAAGAAGTGGGCAGCATTATCTCCAGCAAATATAAACAAACTTGTTTGTCTGACCGATTGGCCAAACAAGAAGTAAGACTGAGTGGTCTTGTAGGCTCTAAAGTTTTACATTGTTTTATTTTTGAATGCAGTTAATTTTTATACATAATTGTACATTTGTAAGTTCAACTTTCATGATAAAGAGATTGCACTACAGTACTTGTATTAGGTGAATTGAAAAATACGATTTCTTTTGTTTTTTACAGTGCAAATATTTGTAATAAAAATAAATATAAAGTGAGCACTGTACACTTTGTATTCTGTGTTGTAATTGAAATTAATATATTTGCAAATGTAGAAAACATCCAAAAATATTTAAATAAATGGTATTCTGTTATTGTTTAACAGCACGATTAATTGCACGATTAATCATGATTAACTTTTTTAATCCCTTGACAGCCCTATCAGCAATTACATGTTGTTGGTTTTCCAAAAATTCAATATTATAGCTAAAGACTGGGTTTTTAAAAAACTTTTCCCGAGCCCAACCATTTTAAAAAGCGGAAGTCAGATCCCACCCAAATAATGAGAGATTAAAAATAATTAATTTGTTTTTTTTTTAATGTGCTTTGTGTTTTTTGAACCTTTAGGGGGTCACATTTTTACTGCAACCATGAGGCTATTAACTCTTTAAAAAAAAATGGAAGCTGAGAGTCTCATGTAATTACTTGAATCCAGAAGCTGGGGCTTTAAGAAGAAACACCAAATATTATGAGACTGGCAATAACATTGTGAGAAATGGTAATGCTGGTGCATCGGGATACTGAGTTCAGTTGTTTTTCCATCCATTTCTGTTCCATTAACTCATTTCAGCCTGTGCTAGCAGCTGCTCTGTTCTACCGTTGTAGCTTTCAAGGTAACGACCCTAGAGATTGAGCCATCTCATTGGCCATCTGTGGGCACTACAGCAGTTTGTAATTAATAATCCTTTGTGCTGAAGTCTCCCAGGACATGCTGGATGTTATTCTTGAACTTTGTCTTGTTCCAAGGGTATTGTTACGTGCAGGCCTCTGAATTGGTGCAGGATGATGGCGTCTTCTCTCCAGCCTGCGAGGTAGTCTAGTGAAGCCTGCTACCATTGGATTTTTAGTTTTTATGCATTTTTAGTTACTCTGTAGACTTCACAACACTCCTAACCATTTGGAGGAGTTGGCAGTGTTTGAAAAGATGGCGTTTAAGGTTGAGTTACACAGTATTGCCAACCTGAAGTGTTGAAGTCAGGACCCAAAATATCATGAGACTTAAAGAATAAATCTTGTGTTCTTTTCAGTTGCTGTCTGATCTTTGAGGTTGTTAGAGTTCATATTTTCAAGCTTTTTTTTTTTTTTAATGAATGCTGGGATTCTGACATAACCACAGGACTCCAGGCGCTGGGAGTTCAAAAAGAATACTATCGGGAGTTTGTGATAACATAGTAAGAGTTGGTCACAATGGAGATAGCACGAACTTCTGACCCCCACTTCTTTCCCGTTGGCTGTCTCTCTCCACCTTCTCCTGTAAATCAATTTTCCTTTCATACACCTCCCAGCCCTTGCTCCCCTTTCTTTCATGTAAATTCTGGAGGTTTCCTGGTTTCAGCTAAAGGGCATGGGAAGTACAGGCAATATCTTTGTTGCTAGCAGACAGCTTGAAAATCCTGAGGAGAGGTGCCAGGCAGAGCAGGAAGATCAATGTAGTCAATCAACACAGAGATTTGGATATTTGCTGTACCATTATAGAAGAGTTGTACTATGATTATGCAAATCCTTCTATTTTGGCTAATAAAGGCCATTCACCAGTCGGAACCAATCAAGGCACAGGGAATTGCATCATTTAGAAACTAAAGAACTGCAGAAAAAAAACCTATTTGTGAGCGTACAGTATCCCTGCTGTCTGATGGGCTGAGTCAGTTCCATTTCTGTATGAGATGAGATACTCTTGATACAACCAAATAGTTTGTTACAGTATTGTTAGAGGGACTTTAAGATGACACTCTAGGTGGTTCTGTGCCTTTGAGATGGTTAAGTTAGTAAGAAAATTCCATGACTCCTGCAATTTGTTGTTCAGTGACATACACTAATATTCTGTATCAACAATGGTACTTTCCCCCCTTAAACAGTTTTTTTTTTTTTTTTGCTTAAATTTGGGACAGGAAAAAAAAGGAAAGCATAAGTATAAATTCTTCAATTTTTAAATTTAAAATATAGCTTATGAACAGTGCACAGGCTTGGAGGCAATTAAAACATAAGAAACCTGTCTTTTTGGTGTAGTCATTCTTGCATCAGAGAAGATGCGCTATAATGTGAAAGTGCCATTGTGCCTCTGTTACTACAAGGCCAGTATTATACTCTCAGAACTGCCTTTGTACTCTTGGTTCTTTTGTGCTGATGAATCTGATTATAATAAAACAAACTCCTGTTAATCATAAATATCTCCCTGGAAATAATCTTCTCAACTATAGAAAATCCCTAGTGGAGCTATTTTCTATAAGCTGCCAAGTTGGACTCCTTAGCTTCTGTGATAGAGTGAATGAGACTGCAGTTCCCTCATCAGTTTCATAATGCTCAGAATGCTTCCATTTACATCTCCGTGTGCAATGCAGGGCAGCGGGCTGCCCGGAAATTTGAAACTATTTTGATTCCCGTTGACTAGAACAGCAGCAATCGAATTAGCTTGTATCATTATAGATAAACTGATGATCTATGCATACTCATTGACCAATGGGTAACTGCTGGAGCTACAGTAATCTCTGTGAGTAGGCGACTCTGTTCAAATAAATATATATTTAGCTAGTTAGCTAACAGAGAGAGAGAGAGAGAGAGACATTTTTGTAAAATGTTCCTGGGAAAATGTCTTTCCATATTTGTAATGTGTATTTGATTATTATTATTATTATTATTATTTTTTTTGCTTCCTAGCCTTTCCTTTATTATACCATGACCAAGCTCCTGTGTTAGATTGAAATTTGATGGTTGATTATTTACATATGAAATATCGTATTTATGCCAGTGCAGGTTAAGTAATGGATTCTTTAAATCTCTAGGCATCAAAAAAGTGCCAGCTGCTCTCAGGCTATATTTTCCCAATGTCTCAGCTTTCCTTGCGTACACCTCTCTTGCTATTTTAGCTTAGAGCCTTTTTATTTTTTATTTTGCTTTATTGAAAGAAGCAACCTTAAATGGAAAGTAGAAATTGGTGTTACCTTAAAGAGGGTATCCTTTCATCGTTTATTGTTCTGCTTATCTTCAGCGGAGCACCTGATTTTGCTGTTCCTTTTCTAGCCTTATTTGTAATGCAGTCATGTTGGGGGATGGGGGCTAGGCAGGATATGCTGGGAGCTGTAGCAAGACATGATGCTGTGGTGGTGGATGGGAAGAGGGGAGGGGTTTCCCTTAAAGAACTCGAGCTCCTTTAAACCCTGCTACCTGAAATAAGGCGTGTGCTCCACTAGCATTATCTCAGGTTTCAGAGTAGCAGCCGTGTTAGTCTGTATCCGCCAAAAAAAAAGGAGGACTTGTGGCACCGTAGAGACTAACCAATTTATTTGAGCATAAGCTTTTGTGAGCTACAGCCCACTTCTTCAGGTGCATTATAGTAAGCCTTTTTTAAGAACAGGTGGTTGCTGGTTGACCCTCCAGAATGTGTTCCTGCAAAGAATAGAGACCATGGTAAAGTTCACCGTGGAAGTTGGTCCTGTAGGCCATATCAGAAAAGGTTATTGCTTTGATTGCTTATTTCACATGTTTTCTTTAGGAGCATTTTAGATTGAAATTAGTTTGAGGTAATCAATTTGCTGTTTCTCCCTGGGACTCCAGTAAAGACTCTTATTTACAGTAGGGCTCCTTCACAACACTGGCAGTGTAAAGGGACCTTGAAATGGGCTTTATATTGGAAGAGCAGTATAATGGTGGATGTAGTGTAAATGTGAATAAGACCCTCAAACTCGTAGTTTTTGCTTTAGCCCAGTGAGTCTTTTAAATAGCACTCCTCTATTCTTTGGATGCACCGTAAAGCTTTGGCCATGGGTTTGCTAGGGATTAGGTTACTCATGGAGTTAATGAAAAAAATGAAAACATCAGAAACTTTCTGTGAGTTGTTTACTGCTTTACCAAGCAGCTGCCTTGTCACATAGGGTGTGTGGGGAAGCTCACAGCTGTGCCCTATATTCATTGCCTGAAAACTAAGCTCTGCACTGTTTGTCTTGGATTGCTTCAGAAGCAGAGATGGCCTTTGAGACTGACAAATCCCTTGCAAGGGTTTTAGGTTTAAAACATGGTCACTAATTGTCCTTGTAGCTTACCTGTTACAGTCAACATGCAGCTGGTTTGTGAAACTCACGTAGGCAAAGCTGAATGCATGTTGGAAGCATTCTGTCTGCTTCTAGAAATGCGTTTTCTAAGCAGTTCTTCAGCATATGAGAGGAAGTCATGGCCGTTTAGATGTGCTTAGGCAAAAATATTTAAGTAAGGGACTCCTTATAAGTAGAGCCCTGCAAGCCTGTGGATATCTGCTTTATATCAGATGCGGATATCCGCCGGCCATTTTTGCAGATTGGATGCAGATACGAAACAAATAATTCAGCCTATCCGTGTGCTTAGGCAGTTGTTAATAAATATTACTGCTTAGAAACTGTTCAGCCTCTGCTTAATAGGAAATTGGGCCTTCTTTCACTCTCCTATACATTTGAAAACCTTTGCTGAAGAACTAGTAGGTTAAAAAACTGGGTCAGCGTCTGCCTATTCCTCTTTTAAAAAGTCCATTTGGTCTATCTTTGGAGATAGGGCCACAAACTGTGTTGCCACGATGCACGGCTAAGGACATGGTAGGACTATCTGAAAGAGTTGGATGCCATTAATAACTTCCCTACGAATTTTTATCTCAGAGAGATGAAGTAAACAGAATCTAGCTAGTCACAGTTATAGAAGAGCCTTTGACTTCATTACTTTGGGGCTACATGGCAATTAGACATGGGCTGTGAAATGGGATCTAAATCCAAAACACTCCAAATTTGTTCAAATTTTTGAAATGTAGGTCCATGTCCAATTCCAGATACATTCCCCAGGCCCACGTCCGAGTAAGGGTGGGGTGTGAAGCCAGGAGATGGTTTCGATTTGGATCTCGGCATGTCTCAGTATTGTAATAATAATTGATACAACTGGGATCCAAAACATGCTTCTAGTTTTCTTCTGAATGACTAAGTAAGTACTCAAGGCCAGATTTTTCCAAAAGTGCTCAGCCTCAACATAGGCACCTAACTGAAGTGGCCAGAGATTCATAAGTGTAGCCTCCAGCAGCTCCCATTGAGAACAGTTGAATTAGTGTTGACTGAGAACAATGGGAGCTGCTGGGTGCTTAGCTCTTTTGAAAATCTGGCCATCAGTTGTCTCAATTGCTTTATTTTCATCAGCTTGAAAAACAAGACAGAAAACCCCCAGCCTTCATGTGTGACACTAGATTTAATCTTTTACTGGAAAGTTGTAAAGTGTGATGATAAATGTCCATGCGTCACTGCAGTTCGGCCTTCAGTTATACAGGTTCTGAAAAGATGAGGGTGTAGTGTTAGAGAGTGTCATGGTTCATTAATTACCTTATCAACTAATTGGAATCTTTCTAGCATTTCCCGTTTTGTTTGTCCGTACTCATGGGATATGTGGGATCTAACCAGTTGCTTTCCATACCATTGCTCTTTAGAACAACTAAAAAGAGAAAATGACAATAACATTAATGTATAAAACACAAGGTAATGCACACATCATGGACAGATGTTAAACCTCCAGATACCTACTTTCTTCAGTTCTCTCATCTGGCATGTGTCCATGCTATTCATGGGCCACTGGGACCCTGTGAAGCTCAGCAAATATTTTTGGCATTCCTAACTTGGCAGTGGTAACTTCCAAAAAATATGCTTCCCCAACACTCAGATGTAAAAAGCCCAATTTTACAATGCAGTAGCATTCAAAAAGAGCTAAATACAATAGCATTTCTTTGCAGTGGGCTTGCAGAAGCAATGCAGCTAATCTGGGAATGGAGCTAATACCCTTAACAAGTAAATGGATGTACCCAATAGACAAATACACTCTCTTTCTTTTGTGTAGGTGGACAAGGAGATAGCACTCTGCTCCCACATAACGTCTCCAATGAATTTCCAGAATATGGCACTATGGAGCAAGGTGCAGAAGCACTGAGAAGTTCATCTGAGTTTCTAGCAGAGGCTATAACATGCAGTCCAGAAAGGAGGGGGGATGACCAGTTGCCTACTCTTCTTGCAAGTGGCACTTACGCAAATGAGCCAAAATCTTGCATTGAGGTATCACTGCTACCATCAAAAGAAGAAACTTTGCCACGTACTGATAGACAGACTGGGATTATGAAAATTTCTCAAGAGCTAGAAGCTGCAAAAATACAGAAGGGAGCAAACGCTTCTCTTTATTCAGAGCTGCAAATGGAAAAAGAAAGGAATATTGGCAGCCAAGACGTACAGGCAGCCAGAGAATTGGTTCCAGCAGGCCAAGAAAAACCCTCAGACAAGCCTCTTCCATCTGAAGTAAGAGCTGAGGAGAAATTGTATTTGATCATAGAAAAAGATCTGGCTGCAATAGTAACTGGAGAAATGCAGTCAGAGTCCTTGCAAGCCATCAATAATAAAACTGAGGAGGTCCCCAAAGTGAAGGAGACAAGCTGTCACAGACCATCTGTACCAGCCCTGGAGGCAGATAGCAAAGTTGGGGGCGTTATCAGTATTCTGGGGGAGGGATGGTCAGATTTTGAGAAGGAATTTTCAGCGTACAATCCAGGCGAGATGCAAGCGGGTCCTGGGAGGAGGATATCGAAAGAGGCAGCTGTGAGCAAACATGTAGAATTTCAAGGGGTGGAGATTTTATGGATACAGAAAGCAGAGGAGCAGAAGGGAGTGAAGCATTCAGCGCTAGAGGCCAATGCACACTTACAAAGGGCCGTGTCTGTAGAAAAGAAGTTCTCCAAAGCATCAAGCCACCCCATTCCAGCCCCAGTTTCCTCAGGGTTAGTCACTTTGTCTGAGAGTGTTTGGAACGAAGCCCAGGCAGATTTCAAACCAGGAGTTGGCTCGGAATCCTTTTCTCTAGCTTTGCTAGCTGAAGGTGGGGAGGATGGAGTCTTTGTGAAGGATAAACTTGCTGAAGAAAAGAACCATGTGCTAAACACAGACAGTGAAAGGTAAGAACGTTCTGTGGGGCAGGGACTGAATTCCCACGTGTGGGCCATGCCTAACACACCGTGGGAGTTGCTGCTATGCAAATGACTGATTAGATTATTTGCCTGCTGTATAGAATGTTATGGAGATGACTGTAGTGATGGCACCGTTAATGTGGAGTTGAGGGTTGCGCTGAAGCAGAACTCAAATCCGTCTGTTCCACACTTCTAATGTTTGAATTTAGTCTCCAAATTGGGCATGATAACTCTAGAGGAATTCTGTGGTTTGCCCTTTACACAACAAAGACAACATGAAGAAACCCACATGGGCACAGTTAGGTCCCAGATAACTGTGTTGACTAAATATACACACAGGCAAGGCCTAGCCACATACATACTGCTGCTCTGGCTGATTTCTGGCAGGGTTTTAAACATAGAACACAGTGAGTGTTTCCAGAAGGATCACAAATTATTTAAAGGGATACCACCCTATTCCTATACAGTACAAGAGGATAGTGGCATTTTTTTATATTACATATATAAAAAAATTGCGAATGTTTGTTCCTTATTCAAATTGTGTCCTGTTTTCTTCACATTTGTTTGTATTCCTCTTGGTGAACGACGATAGGGCCTGCCTGCGACCCTGCACACACATTCTGATCTTAGATCAGATGCCAGCTGTTTTTTGAAAGGCTCACATTAAAACATACATGGAGTCAGTCCTTTTATTACTCAGAGTCCTTTGAGTTTTGCCATGATTACCAAATGGAATGGTTTTGTAGTGTTGCTTATTCTTGTGATTTTATCACAAATCTCATGATATTTCTTGGATTTCTTAAAGCACCAAATCCTGGAGCCATGTGAATATGTGAGAATTTCAGCTGTCATTTTAAAACAAAAAGTTTTGAGCCCTCCTGGTTGTGGAGAAAAGCTTAAAAATGTGATCCGAGTGCACCTTGAAGGCTCAGAAACCAGAAGACAAAAAACCCCTCAAATGTATTATATTATGTTTTTAAAATCTCATGATTTTTAAGCCATCTCATGATTTTGGGAGCCCTGGCTTTTGATTTTTGAATACTTGGAGATGATTCCCTGATGAGAGGCAAAATACCAGTGGGGGAAAAAGGAACGCTTGAAAGATGTTCAAATCTTTCTTTTTGTTAAAGTATCCTGAGCAGCTGTAGGCAGGCTGCACAGCATGGAACGTGAGGGTGGGCACTGGGGCAGGGATGTGGGTTGTGGGATTATGCGGGGCTTTGGCAAAATGGGGGGAGCTGTGTAGTGCTGGGGCCCAGAATTTGAGGAGAACAGGATTGTATGAAGCGAGGGCTTGGTATGGTGAAGGGCAGGTCTGTGTCTCTAGTCCAGTGGTTCCCAAACTTGTTCCGCCGCTTGTACAGGGAAAGCCCCTGGCAGGCCGGGCCGGTTTGTTTACCTGCCGTGTCCGCAGGTTCGGCTGATCGCGGCTCCCAGTGGCCGCGGTTCGCTGCTCCAGGCCAATGGGAGCTGCCGGAAGCGGCGCGGGCCGAGGGACGTACTGGCCGCCGCTTCCAGCAGCTTCCGTTGGCCTGGTGCAGCGAACCACGGCCACTGGGAACCGCGATCGGCTGAACTTGTGGACACGACCGGTAAACAAACCGGCCCAGTCCTCCAGGGGCTTTCCCTGCACAAGCGGCGGAACAAGTTTGGGAACGACTGCTCTATGCAAAGGCATTGGCCTTAGAAAGGCTCTGCTGGTTGCTCTCCGGCACACCAGGCCACAGCTCCAGGGGAGTCATTATTTCTGTATGGCATGTTCAGTGTGTCAGGGCTGATTCCCCACCCTGGCACTTCGAGTGCAGAAGGTGGGGACCCGCAAGGATTCTAAACATTAATACTGGCCACTTCAGGCTGGTATTAAAATCCCAAGGTCACAGCTTTTCTCTGACCTTGGATGGGTAGATGCTGCAACCCCCCTACCCCCTTTTTGAGAACCCAAGAAGGCACACTTGGGAATTCCTTCCTGTGGGGTACCCTCAAGCCCTTTCACCCCTCTCTGGGTAAGAGCTGAGAAAGAAAACAAAGAAAATGAACTGTTGCCACCAGCTAATTAAACAACAAACCTCTTAGGACACCAAAAATCCAATCCTGTTCTTAAAAAAGGTAAATTTTATTAAAAACAAAAAGAAAGAAAATACGTCTGGAACTTAGGCTTTTGCTAGATTTAAAAACTCACTCACAAAAATTAAACATCAAGAATAACCTTCTTGAGGTTCAGATTAAAGGTTACAAGCAAAACAGAAGCATTTGGGGTTAGCACAGAGGAGTCCACAAGCCAAGAGAAATAAACAAAATAAACCTAATTGCGTCTTCCTAGACATTTCCTGATCTACTTACATATCTGGGTTTCCAAATAAGCAATTTCTAGTTATGATTCTGATGAGTTTCATACCTGGCCTTCAGCTTCTCACAGCATAACTGCTGCCCTGTTCCCCTCTTCCCCGGAGAACAACAACCGCAGACAAAGGGAAGTTTTCCCCCAATTTTAAAAAGTACTAGCCGTCCCATTGGCTCTTTTGGTCAGGTACCCACTCACTTCTCTTTACCTATGCATGCAGTCCGACTTTTTAACCCTTTACAGAAAAGCAAGTAGAGAACAGCTACCAAGAGGGATTCTATAGCTAACTGGCTGGCTGGATGTCCACAAAAGGGAGCTATCCCCCTCTCATTTATCACACAGTGCATCAAGAGCACCTCATGGTGCTGCTGCCTCTGTTCACCAGGAAGTATAGGTGGCAGCTTCAAGAAAGCCTTCAAAGCGCTGATTTGGTGCTGAGGCACCAATCTCCATCCCCTCCTTCCAGAGTGTCTACATAGCATTGTTCTCTGCCCGCCACCAACCAAACCCACTTTATCAATTACCTGGTTCCTCTGACTTCCCCAATACCAGGAGAGCTATTTCAGGGGCTACTTAGGCACCTGAAAACTCTAGGTTTTTTGCAGATGATAACTTAGAAATTATCAGAGGGGTAGCCGTGTTAGTCTGTATCCACAAAAACAACGAGGAGTCCGATGGCACCTTAAAGACTAACAGATTTATTGGGGGATAAGATTTCGTGGGGTATTTATTTGGACATAAGCATCTGAAGAAGTGGGGTTTTTCCCCCGCGAAAGCTTATGCCCAACTTAGAAATTAGCTGACAACAGCACTGAATCTATAAAGAAAGAAAAAAATATATAGACAAACATCAATTAAAGATATGTGATGAGGTGTACCTACCCTGCGCCAGCCCTGAAAGGGTTAACTCTGCTCTGCAGGCAGAGGAAGCCCCGCCCCTCCGACCCTGCTGGGCATGCTTAGCCTGGAGGCAGCATATAAAAGGTAGCAGCCCAACTCTGTCTGGGGAGGCTGCTGATGGGGAAGGACGCAGGCTGCAAGCTCTCTGCAGGGAGTTGCTACAAACCCCGACTATGGGACTGTGGCTCACAGAGTTCCTGACTGGAGACTCCAGGCTGCCCGACAAGCCCAGATAAAGGATGGTACTGGTGGGAGCCCGGCCATTTGGGGACCTGGGGAGTTTTGGCGAGGGGGAAAGGGTAAGAAGCAGCCCAGGGGTCTCGAACTTTTTGCCGGTTAGTAAACCAGGGGATTGGTCAGCATGTTTTGGGAGGATCCCCACTGACTCGGTGGTGAGCACCACCGCCAGGGCCCTGGGCTGGGGCTCGGAGGAGCAGGGAGGCCCCGAGTCCCCTTACCCAGAGCGCCACACTCCCCTGAGTGGTGCCCCACTCCCCCAACAGGCCAACTGGCCGCACAATCTCACAGAGAAGGGCTACTTCACTGACTCTGGCCATTGGGCCACGCTGCCCTGATGGGAAGGGCTGCTCACTGACTCTGGTCGCTAAGTAACACTACCCCATGTTACAGTAAGGGTCATCGGTGTAGGACCTGACCGGCTGCAGAATTGCCTACGCCCTTCCATCTAACCCTACGTGACCCAACACCTCGTGATGGGGTGTACCTAGCCCACGACAACATATTTTAAATTGATATGTAAATTTAGAACAATCGGGAGATAATACAGCAAGATATTCCCAATGCCAAGCCTTGAGGTACCAGTTTTGGAGCCTTAACATAGATATCAGAAACACAAGTTACTCATTCTCAGATTAAATTTTGATCAATTAACTGGGAAGATATTTTTACTTCCTGCTCTGGCTTAACCTTGAAAGCCAAATTGGGTTCTTTCTGCTTCTTTCATCTTCACCAGTACTGCAGTTCACAATTCTGTTGATGTGTGAGGCCAAACAGAATACAGCTTGCTTTCCTTGTCTGATAGTGGTTCCTGCACCATTAAGAATAAAAACATGTTTGTAGCCATAAAAACGGGGACTTGAGTTGAAATGGAAAGTAGAAGTATTTGATCGTGGTGACGTTTTTACAGAGCCACTTTTCGGACCACAAGTGGACTTTAAAGAAGAAAACAACATTTATTATGGTCAGGCTGGACATACAAGATGTGCCAATGAACAACCTTTTATCCCTCATCGAAGTCGTTAGCTAGGAGAGGGTGCGGTTCTGAGGGTAGAGTAGCAGAATGGGCATCAGGGCTGAGATACATTTCCAGCTCTTGTCCTTGTCTACTCTACCACTTACTTCAGTATAACTTATGTCACTCGGGGTGTGAATAAGCCACCCCCCCGAGCAACGTAAGTTACACCGACCTAAGCGCCGGTGTGGGCAGCGCTCTGTTGGCGGAAGAGCTGCTCCTACCGACACAGCTCCTGCTGCTGGCGGAGTTGGCGTTGTTATGCCGAGGGGAGAGAGGCAGAGAGCGTCTTCACCAGATGTGCTACAGTGGCACAACTGATGTAGCGCTTCTAGTCTAGACTAGCACTAACCTCTCCTGACATTTTGTGGCAAGTCAGTTAAGGGGACGCTGGTTAGGTTTAAAATTTTAATGTATATTCCTACTTTGTTACAACTGAAATAATTACAGAAAAATTGAGATTACTTTTTATCAGTTAGGCTACTTACTTTTTGCAGTTCACCAAATTTCAAATAGATTATTTAACTTTTGGAAACATCCTACTAGGGCAAGGGCCCGTGAGTCTTTACTGCACCTGCCTGGGGCTCTCCAGATGTTACCCTACTACAAATAATAGTAGACTAGAAACTGACTTTAAACAGGAGTGAAACTGACTCTTTAAAGGTTTCAGAGTAACAGCCCTGTTAGTCTCTATTCACAAAAAGAAAAGGAGTACTTGTGGCACCTTAGAGACTAACCAATTTGTTTGAGCATGAGCTTTCGTGAGCTACAGCTCACTTCATCGGATGCATTCAGTGGAGCGAGCTGTAGCTCACGAAAGCTTATGCTCAAATAAATTGGTTTGACTCTTTAAAGTCACTTTCACTTCTGTTTAAAGGCTAGTTGCTTTCCAGAAGGCTCTTAAACACAACGCTATGGTGATTGAGCCTCAGTTCTCACTGGAGAATAGCTAAAACCAAACAGCAAGAAAATTCCACATTTTAAAGTTGAGAAAAAATTGAGTCTTGTTTATTATTTAGAGAGTGTGTGTGTGTGTGTGTAGAGTACCAGGAAATCTGAGGGAAGGTAGACTGCTTGTTAGAAGTCTGACGAAGACCAAACAACCTCACGTGGTTGCCTTGAGTTTCTGGAGTACCTCATCCCTATTTGACTTAAGAGTTCTCCAAGGGGAGGTTTAGAACCCGTGTATGGCCATCTGCAGAGAGGCTGAACGGCGCTGCACATTCCACTTCCATTTTGATACTACCTGTGTGGGTGTTTACCTGTGTTTTTTCTATGTTGTATTCGTGTATTAGGTTGCTTTTAATAGAGATTTGTATTAATTTTTCCTCTAAGGCTCTTATGCTGCACTGGGATTGTGTGGGGCTGGGTTGGTTCCAGGGATATGCCCCCTCCATGCCCTGCCCCCCCGGCCTCCGCACCGCTGACTGGGACCTAAGTTCCTGGTGAAGCATCTTATCTACTATAATTCCTTTTGTGTTGCAGTCAGTAGAGGTGCTGTGAGAGGGGGGAGCTAGATGTGTCTGTGACTCATACTCTAGCTCCGAAAAGCACACTGTCTCTTTCACTGAACACAGCAAGCTGATGTTGTTTCTTAGTAAACATCACTTTTTCTTTTCTCCTGAATATTTTTTCCTCCCTTCTCAGAACTGTAGCACACCAGCGAAGAAGACTGTGTTAGTTCTGTACTCCAGCATGGCACTGGAACCAAAGTATCAGTTCTGCTTTGTATTCGAATAACTAGAACTCAAGACCATTGAGTTCCTTTTTATATGTGTGACTCACTCACAGGGAAAATAAGCAGATTTACTCAACAGTTCTAATCGAACAAAACTTAAACCGACTCTTTTTGGTTTATTCCTAGGATCATGGAGGAGGAAGAAGCAGCCACAGGAGGCTATGGAGATGTCCTTGGACAAAGGCATGCAGAAGTTTCCATTGATGTGTATAGCTCACAGTTTGAAAACATTCTAGACAATGCTTCTTTATATTATAGTGCGGAATCCCTGGAGACTTTATACTCGGAACCCGATAGTTACTTTAGTTTTGAAATGCCACTCACTCCGATGATCCAGCAACGTATCAAGGAAGGCAGTCAGTTCTTAGAAAGAACTGCTTCAGGACAGGAAGATGTCTGTAAGCTTCCCACAAATGGTGAGATCAAGAGTCAATGTGGAGAGATCTCCAGTGGACTAAGGGATGGAAGTGACACCCTCTTCAGAAGAGACGTCACAGAGGTTACTTATTTGGACAGGTAAAAAAAAATTTTTTTTTAAAGGGCGTTTGCTTCCGCAGCATCTCTCAGAATTCATTTTGGAATTCTTAATGCTGAACTTTTTAAAACAGGGTGCATAACTGTGTCCAGTGAAATAAATAACGCAGGGAAAGAGAGAAGCCAGACAGACTTGCTTTTTTGCAGAAATGGACAGATTTCACACTACCAACTACTTGTAAGCTTAGCTGTGATGTCTATGTAACTACCAGTAGATGGCCTGTAATGTGACATCTCAAGAAGGTGAGATTTGCCAGAAGGCTGTCAGTGTGCCAACAGCCCATGCGTCTCAGATCATCCCCAGTTGTGCCTGATTTTGGAAGCAGTAATTTTATGAAAGACTTATAAAAACCCCTTGATCTGAATCGTAAAGGCATGTGTGGACAATTAAATATCTGGCACGAAATCCTGGCTTTCTTGAAGTCAGTGGGAAGTTTGCCATTGTCTTCAGTCGAGTCAGGATTTCACTCCCCTTCTACCCATGGATTCAGAAGTACTCAATTTCCCACAGGTTGTCAAATGCCATTTACTTCTGTATGTTAGAAACTGTACAAGAGAGAGTTAGAGGAGTATTTAATAATTTGTCACAAAGTACAAAAATACTACACGCTGCCTGTTATGCAAGGAGAAAGACAAGGAAGACAAACTAGAGAAGAGTGATAGGGACAGTGCAAGAGGATGCAGTATATTTGTAGGCAATTCCTTGTTTTTTGGAACCCCTGTCTGGTCAGCTAGACATCATGCTCTGTGCTGGGTTGGAGGCTGAAGAGTGCAGGGTGGGGGTTGGGAGGAGGAAAGAGAGGCAAGTCAGACACAGAAGCAATAACTCAAATTGTTTTCAATCTGCCAGCCTATCAATAGCGGCAGGAAGCCCTAGTGCTTAGAGTGGCACACCAAATGTTACAGTCGTACAAATAACAACAACCCCGGTTTACAGATGAAGCTACAAATGATTGTTGATGAGGGGAAGCTCAGATTGCTGCATGAGCCACTCAAGAAGGGTTTAAAAGGCTTTGCTGCACAAAGTGGAGAGATGGAACCAAAAGTAGACTGATGCCAACCAGGCTGAGTAGGTCGGGGTGTTGTCACAAAGGTAGGCTTGAGAAAGCAGTACACACGCCATGCATTCTGGTCCTTGAGGAACAGAGAGTCCAGGAAGGACTGGACTGCTATGATCTTGCCAGGCTGTGCATGCTAGTGTAGGGGGGTGGACACCTGCTCGGGCCCAGGGGGGTTTAAGATAGCCCTGGGAGAGGGTGGGGCAGGGGAAGGTAGTGGGGCTGATTGGGGAAGCAGCCTCAGCTGGGGGCCATACCCCAATCAGGGCCCAGCTGGCTCTATAAAGGCTGTGAGCCAGAAGCCCAGGAGCACACTCTCTCTAGCTTCTGAGAGGGAGGGACCTGGTTGCAGGGACCTAAGCAGAGTACCTAGATTGGAGCAGGGCTGGGGAAGGGCTTGAGGAGTTGGGGAGCTCCAGCCAGGAAACCCCCAGGCTGCGGCCTAGTATTAGGCCCAGCAGGTACTGGGGTGGCAGGGAACAGCCCAAGGTTAGGCAGAGGCAGCAGGTCCAAACCCAACCTTGCCTGGGATGAGTGGTTCATACTGCAGTCTGCCGCAGGGCCCCGGGGCTAGCTGGTGACTGGCAGGAGCCTACGACTGAGGCAAGGTAGGTCTTGTGGGTGGGGGGTTCCCCTGGGAGGGGGAGACGCAGAACTGTGGGGTACTGCCAGGGGGCAGCACCCAGTGAAAGGGGCACTGGGGTCCTGGGAGGGACATGGGAGCCAGCAGCAAGGCGAGACACTGGCCTGAAGAGGGCGCTCTGGAGGCTGGAATGCTAATTCCCTGAGACAACCAGCAGGAGGCACCGCCGGTGAGTCTGCGCCCGGTTTCAGAGTGGTGGAGAATACGGTTGTAAGCAGTCCTACCCCGATACAAGGGCCAAGGGCGTGGACAGTAGAACTATTGCCTGAACGGGAGTGACCTGGGGGATGATGGATCCTGGGTACACGGGGGTCTTCTATGGGGAGGCCCCAGATGCAGTCCCTGGTTGGGCCCCGGGGTCAGTGTGCTGGAGGAAGGGGGCTGACCACCGGCTGGGGAACCGGGGTGGGGGCAGGCAATGGGACATATGGGAGGTGCAGTGGGCCCTCCATGAGAGCATGGGCCAGCTGGTGGAGGAGGGGCAGCGGCCCCGACAAAGATCCTCCAGCAGGAGTTGCGGAGGTAACGGTGGTAAGTGGCAGAACTACAGACGTCTTACGCCTGCAGAAGGCAGGGACATTTAAAAAGGGATTGTCCTTACTGGGACAGGGGCAGGGCACCTCGCCTGGAGGAGAGACAGGGACAATTCCTGTGGACAGGCAGCCGGGTGAGGGAACCCGGGCAGCTGCCAACCTGTTTGGCCCTTCTGCCTGCAGGCTCCTCGTGGTGGGCATGCCCAGGCCAGAGGGACACGGAAAGGTCCAGGGCAGCAAGGAGGCAGAGGGCCTGTTGGGGCTGCTGGACAGTGGGCCACATAAGGAGGCACTGCCCCCTCAGGGGAACTGAGGAGAGGCCGGAGGAGGTGCCTGTGGGCTTGGAAGGACCAAAACTGAAGGAGGTGACAACAGGGATGGAGGGAACCCTGCAGGAGGTGGGAACCCAGACCGTCAAAGGGCCAGTTGCTGAGGATGAGACCCAGATCACGCCCCAATCAGGGCCCAGCTGGCTCTATAAAGGCCTGAAGAGGGCACTCCGGAGGCTGGAATGCTAATTCCCTGAGACGACCAGCAGGAGGCGCAGCCAGTGAGTCTGCGCCTGGTTACAGCTAGGATACAGCGTGTGCATTGACTTCACTTCTTTTATTACTTTTGTGCTATGCTCAAAAAGTTAACCCTTAGAAATACTGTCTGCTATTGAATAAAGGTTATTAAAAGGTCAAGCTAACTGTACAGGGACACTCTCAGTAGTTTTGACCCATCATTTAGTTATTTCTCCCTTCCTCCCCCAATTTTTTTTTTTTTTTTTAACAAGCCTTGGACAATGTTGTACTATTTTCATAGGTTCATAGATATTAAGGTCAGAAGGGACCATTATGATCATCTAGTCTGACCTCCTGCACAATGCAGGCCACCGAATCTCACCCACCCACTCCTGCAATAAACCTCTCACGTATGTCTGAGCTACTGAAGTCCTCAAAGCATGGTTTAAAGACTTCAAGGTGCAGAGAATCCTCCAGCAAGTTACCCGTGCCCCATGCTGCAGAGGAAGGCGAAAACCCCCCAAGGCCTCTTCCAATCTGCCCTGGAGGAAAATTCCTTCCTGACCCCAAATATGGTGATCAGCTGAACCCTGAGCATGTGGGCAAGATTCACTGGCTAGATACCCAGGAAAGAATTCTCTGTAGTAACTCAGAACCCACCCCATCGGGCCTATTTACCATGAATCGTTAAAGATCAATTAATTGCCAAAATCATCTTATTCCATCATACCTTCTCCTCCATAAACTTATTGAGTTTAATCTTGAAGCCAGATAGATCTTTTGCCCCCACTGCTTCCCTTGGAAGGCTGTTCCAGAACTTCACTCCTCTGATGGTTAGAAACCTTCATCGAATTTTCAAGTCTAAACTTCCTGATGGCCTATATCCATTTGTTTGTGTGTCCACATCGGTACTGAGCTTAAATAATTCCTCTCCCTCTCTGGTATTTATCCCTCTGATATATTTATAGAGAGCAATCATATCTCCCCTCAGCTTTTTTTCTGTTAGGCAAAACAAGCCAAGCTGTTCGAGTCTCCTTTCATAGGACAGGTTTTCCATTCCTGGGATCATCCTAGTAGCCCTTCTCTGTACCTGTTCCAGTTTGGATTCATCCTTCTTAAACATGGGAGACCAGAACTGCACACAATATTCTGGATGAGGTCTCACCAGTGCCTTGTATAACACAACTAAAACCTCCTTATCTCTACTGGAAATACCTCTCCTGATGCATCCCAAGACCGCATTAGCTTTTCTCATGGCCATATCACATTGGCAGCTCACAGTCATCCTGTGGTCAACCAGTACTCCAAGGTCCTTCTCCTCCTCCGTTACTTCTAATTGATGCATCATCCCCAGCTTATAACTAAAATTATTTTCATTAATCCCTAAATGCATGACCTTACACTTCTCACTATTCAATTTCATCCTATTACTATTACTCCAGTTTACAAGGTCATCCAGATCCTCCTGTATGATATCCTGGTCCTTCTCTAAATTGGCAATACCTCCCAGCTTTGTATCATCCACAAACTTTATTAGCACACTCCAACTTTTTGTGCCGAGGTCAGTAATAAAAAGATTAAATAAGATTGGTCCCAAAACCGATCCCTGAGGAACTCCACTGGTAACCTCCCTGCAGTCTGACAGGTCACCTTTCAGTATGACCCACTGTCGTCTCTCCTTTGACCAGTTCCTTATTCACCTTTCAGTTTTCATATTGATCCCCATCTTTTCCAATTTAGCTAATAATTCCCCATGTGGAACCGTATCAAACGCCTTACTGAAATCTAGGTAAATTAGATCCACTGTGTTTCTTTTGTCTAAAAAATCTGTTACTTTCTCAAAGAAGGAGACCAGGTTGGTTTGGCATGATCTACCTTTTGTAAAACCATGTTGTATTTTGTCCCATTTACCATTGACCTCAATGTCCTTAACTGCTTTCTCCTTCAAAATTTTTTCAAAGACTTTGCATACTACAGATGTCAAATTAACAGGCCTGTAGTTACCCAGATCACTTTTTTTTCCCTTTCTTAAAAATAGGAACTATGTTAGCAATTCTCCAGTCATACAGTACAACCCCTGCGTTTATAGATTCATTAAAAAGTCTTGCTAATGGGCTTGCAATTTCATGTGCCAGTTCCTTTAATATTCTTGGATGAAGATTATCTGGGCCCCCCGATTTAGTCCCATTAAGCTGTTAGAGTTTCGCTTCTACCTTGGATGTGGTAATATCTACCTCCATAT